CCTTCTGTTTCCCTCTTCTTTCTGTCATGCACTGGCAGAAGGGCAGAAGTCTGGGAATACTTAGAGACTTCTAACATCTGAAACTTTGAAAACATAACCCATGGTGTTTTAGGGAAGCTCAGACTGTGATAATGCCGGGACATAGAGGCAAAAGCTTGATTATTGTTTTCTAAAATACTTAATAGTAATTGAAATAGTGATAGGAAGGATTCTGTTGCACTTTGTACTGGGAAGAAGAGGAGCTGGAGTGTTTTTGAGTTGCTTAAAAATGATCTGTATTAACCTCACAGACTGTACCACTGTGTATCCCAATTCCATAGAGCTGTTGAAGAGTAAGTGTAGCCCTTAATGGGCTCAAAACATACAAGTTATGGTCTTTCAGTTTGATATTTTAAGATGGGACCTAAAGCTCTTAGCAAGCTGTCTCAGGTTTGCTAAAGTGTGTTTGTAATAGTGCATGTAGGGAGAAAAATTCAGCTTTTATGTTCTGTGTTCATAAAAGGCCCTTTGCATATTCCTGTAATACAACAGAGGTTCTTTGAGGTGAATCTGTGTTTCTTTTTCCCAGTTAAATCAAATGGAGGAGTCTCACGACGAAACTACAGAAAAAGAAGTAGAGAGGATCTTGGGAATACTGAACACTCTCTTTGAAAATGATCGTAAGTGTGAGGAAATGAAGCATTAATTGGTGAAAATGAATATTTGCTGGTTGTTACAGTTAGGAGTGGTTAAACTGCAGAGCCAAAATGAGGTGAATTTGCAAGTAGAAATCTTCCTGTAAGAGCACATCTACCAACTAGGGATTTTTTATGAACACTCATCAGGGGCTGTTTGACTGCAAAGTAAATGTGAATCCTCTCCCCCTGATTAGAGCCTGCCACTTTTTAGAAGGCAACCAAGTAATCACTGCTTATGGATCTGCATGGGGGAAAAGATGGAAGAAAATAATAAACTCTGTGGAAGATTTGTTTCTTTTTGCAGGCAGCTGGGAATTCAGCATTGTAACTAAACTGACACACATTCTGATAGGTTTTGAAAGGAGTACTGTCTCTCTTTAAAAGTTTGTTTTACATCTTTTAACTCTGTTTTAACAAAGCCATTTTTGCCTCTCCAGCTGAAACACCTATTTCCTTCTTTGATTTTGTGATTGATCCAAACTCCTTTGCACGCACTGTGGAAAACATGTTTCATGTGTCCTTCCTTATCAGGGTAAGGCATGATATGTTCTTGACATCTCACTTTAGATATTGGAGTTATCTAGACATCCTGATTTGTTGGGTTTGTGTCTTCAAGATTGAAAAATGAGGTTTCAAATATGAGGAATACTAATTTATTTTCTACAAACAGCCCGTGATATTTTGGTAATCAAATAAAAAAGAAAATAGAGTTGACAGATTAATTTTTTTCTTAAGTTTTTCTGCTGCAATCAATTTACCAACAAAACAATAGTGAAATTTTGCTGTCAATACACTTTTCAGAAAATATTCTGGCTTACATTTCAGATATAAGAAAGTAGTCACAGAGTACAGAAGAGTTATTGAGGTTGAAGAAGAGTATGTTAGTGCAGGGGTTTATATGCTTTTCAAATGCATAGATTTGCACTTCAAACTATATTTAGTTTGTCTAATAAATAAAATTAATTTTAAAAGACAAAATCTGACAAAGATATTCTGACTCAATTCAGGTTTATAAGGAATAGTGATGTGATTTGATTATGAAGGGTTACCTTCAGGTGTATTTAATGAATAGTAATGATTTTAATAAAGCAAAACTTTTATAATCCAAGTTAGCCACTGTTTTATATGGACTGCATTCTTCATTAATAAGTGCTATATTTAAGTACTTTTTTCCTATTTGTCATGCCAAGGGAGATTCTTTATCAATATATGTACCTGTTTATGATTATGTATTAAGTAAAAACACGAAATCTCAGTGCATTATCCTAACTGGACACCTCTAACTTCTGAAACTTTAAATCCCACTGTCTTTTAGGATGGTCTTGCAGAAATAAGGCTGGATGATGATAAATTGCCAATAATAGGTAAAATCTAGCTTATTTTAAAAGAGCCTAATTGATTTTGCCACAGCATTACATGTTACACATTCACAAAATTTCAGGTTTATTTTTAGCTGGGGACAGTGAATGTAATTGAAGGTATGAAGAGATTTATGAGGAGTTGAAAGGATTGAGTCTTTTCAAATATCAATATATGAAAAAAGACCATTATGCTGATTTATACAAATTAGTTCTATTAAAATAAATCAAAGATTATTACCTTTCTTTTCAAGTTACATTTTTGCTAAAGTGTTTTTTGTGTGCAAGAAGCCTCCGTTGTCTCGCTTGAGTTGGGAACTGCTGCAGCTTGAAAACATTTGGAAAGGAAATTCCATGCTACACGAGGTCTTTGGCTTTCATTCCCACAGGATATCAGTGGGGTTAAGACTTTGGTGGGATTTGATAAGGAATGAAATGCTTACGACTTTCTGGGACTCTGCAAAACATTAGTTCCTAAATATTGAAGAGGTGAGACGAAGGAAATCCCTTAAGCAGTGTGTGGTACAGGCTGTTGAGAGAGAGTAACTGGGGGGAACATGCAGAATTGATTTGATTTTTGTGGAGCTTTTGTGTTCCTGGTGGACACTGACTTTGCAAGTGTAAATACTAAAACTACTGTATTTTGATCAGAGTCTACAAAATCCAGGAGGGTAGGGGAGGAAAACCGAGGACCTGGAGCACGGAAACAAGTTGTCATGTCTCTGACCCAGGAAGAATGGAAGGTACCATAGAGACCATTTGATACTTTGGATTAGTTCTTTTTTCCTTAAATGTAGGAATGCATCCAAGAGCTGGGCTGTTGATGCTCTCAGGAGGAGAGGTGTTCCCAGGTACATCATCACTGCATTTGACCTTAGGGGTGCCAGAACAGTCACAGATCTAATGGGTGTTTTTAACTGCAAGAAGACTGAGAACTGGGATAGCAATTCCATCTTTGATCCCCGAGGCCTGCTCAGTTTATGTGCTTTTAAGCTGTGCACTGACTTGCCTTTACTATTTTATAGGAGGCCTGTGTAAATACAGAGCCTGTTTCTTCCCTTCCATATACTTCTGGAGGGGAAGTTCTCCTCACTAGTTTGCTGTTTGTAGTAAACCTTAGAAGACAAAAAGTAGTTTTGAGCCCATACAGCTCTTCTCCTTTGTCCCTCACTTGGAATGTGCAGGAGAAACATCATAATTTGGAATGGTGCTTTAGTGTGAGAAATTTCATTATTTGCCTGGTGGTAATTAAATTAAAATAGTCCAGCTCTTGTGACTGACTGACTGCTGTCTTCTCTAACCAGGAGATCATAGAAGTATTTGAAATAACAGAAGCCATGATTAGCCCTCCTTTTCAGAGCACTGAAGAGGAAATGGAGACAGAATAATTTTCCAAGTAAGCCCTTTTAATAAATCAAACTCAGTAAGGATCCAGTGCATGAGTTCCTTATGCACTTGGTGGAAGAACTGCAGGGAGACTACGTGGCACTTACAAATGTAGAACTGTAAGCAGGGTGACTGTAATATGTGGAACACTGCTGTGTTCTTGCTCTCTTCGTGGAACAAAATGTAATCTAGTCTTGTATGCAGTAATTAACTGGGGAAAAAATCCTTTATTTTTACGTTTCTTGGTCAGTTCAGTGATAGACTTAATTTTTGGAACTTCATACTCGGAGTGCAATGTTGGGAAGAATCATAGCTTAGTTTTCCTGTTTGTTTTTTTAACTTAGTGACAGCTGACATTGTTAATACAAGTAGTCTGAAGAAGGACTTAGAGGGAACCAGACTGTTTTCCATTCCTACTTCCCTAAAATTCTTTCAGTGATAGGACTGAATTCTTTTACTGTCACAGTTGTTTTGTAAGTTCCAAATTTTATTGCATATTGTCTTACTGTCTTTTTCTTTTTCTCTCCCCCTAGGTGCCTTATACTTCAGAATGTTTTCCTCAAAAACCTGTTTTATGTGTATATATTGTAAAATTAAATTTATTCCTATTGGAACATCTCAACACTACATAAGCTGCTTTGTTCAGAATCATGGAATGGTTTGGGTGGGAAGGGACCTTAAAGCTCATCTTTCACCCCCTGCCATGGGCAGAGTCACATTCCACTGTCCCAGGTTGCTCCAAGCCCCATCCAGCCTGGCCTCGAACACTTCCAGGGATGGGGCAGCCACAGCTTCCCTGGGCAACCTGAGAAAAAGTTTAGACTTGTCACAGGGTTATTACTATATACTCCCTATTTATTCTGGCTTAGTTTACTACTTTATATAAAGTTTACTGACACTCAGCAGCTTTTATAACAGGGAAACACTGCCCCCCTTCCTTCCTCCCTTGTCTCTCCCCAGCAGCAGCAGCAACAAGTAGAATTTGCATGGTTATCCACCCCTGTTGGGATAATGATTTTGGGTGTTGCAGGAGAAGTTGATAGTGTTCTTGCTGTTCTGGAAATAAAGGTTTGAGTTTGGAAATTTGGTCCCAATTACAGATAGCAATTCCCCTTTCTGTTTTTCCAAACTCCACCTGTGTTTGGTGGGTAACTTAGGCAGGCCAGCTCTATTATTTTGTTAAAAATTAATAAATCTAGCTCCCTTTCCAGAAGATGCTCTGTGGGGGAGCGCTGCTTCTGGAGTTGTAGAAAAGTAGATTGGTGTGAAAGGTTTTACGTTCTTTTTGAGTCCCTAGATTTGCACTTCAAACTATAGTTGGAATTTTAGAATTTTAATGAGTTAAAATTAAAATTTTAGAAAAGACAAAACCTGTCAGAGTTATATTGCTTAAATTGAGGCTTACAGCGGATGGTGATGTGGATTATTTCTTCCATCCTTTTATCTCGCTGAAGCAGCCGGGTACAGAGGGATCTGGCAAATTGTTACGAGCGTGTTTGTGGGGGTGAGAAACCGGTCAGGCCACGAGGGAAACACGGTTAAGAGCATCCAAGCCGAGCCGAGCGCGCTGTTCTGTTGCAAACCCGGCCCTGAGGGGAGGCGTGGGCACGGCCCGGGCGGGGGCGCTGCGAGGCCGCCGGCGCCATGCCCGGCGCCGTGGTGGAGTACAAGGCCTGGAAGGAGGGGCGCGGCTGCGGCTACTGCGGCTCGGAGCGGGGCAAGGTGTCGGCGGGTGAGCGGGGCCGGGGCGCGGCGGGCGGGCCGGGCCCGGGGGGTGTCCCTGGGGCCCTCAGCGCTGAGGGGAACCCGCCGCCGCCGCCGCTGCCCGGGGGAAACATGGCGGCGCCGCCGCTTCCTGCGCGCGCCGCCCGCGCGCTGCCCGCAGCCAAGATGGCGGCGAGCGGCGTTTCCGGGCGGCCCGGGGCGCTGCCCTAAGGCGGGCGGGCACCGCGGGGATGGCGGCGGGCGGCGGCTCCCCGAGCATCGTGGAGTTCTTCGGCGGGGAGGATGGCTACCGCTGCGGATACTGCAGGAGCGACACCGGCAACCTCTCGCACGGTGCGGGCGGCGCGGGGAGCCGCGGGCGGGCCGGCCGGGTGCTGGCGGGGAAGGGGCGGCGGCGGGCGCGGGGCCGAGGGAGGGCGGCGGGGAAAGGCGGTGGCACCGTTGCCCGCCCGGCCTGGAGCTCCGAGCTGCTCTTACTGGCCCAGTGCTTCCAGCTGGTCGCAAGAGAATTAAGCAGCAATTTCATGTTGTTTTCCTGGGTTATTTCGGGGAAAGGAAGGAGGTGGAGAGATGAACTTTGCGCTTGTACAGTCGGAGAAATATAGTTGCTTGCATCCCGAGATTTGTGTTGGGTTTGAGGTTTTTACACGTAATGTGGCTGTTGAAGTCAGTAATCATGATATTAACGAATATGCCAAATCCTTGAAAGACATCTGTGTATACTCAGATTTGCAGTAATCACAGAATCACAGGATGGTTTGAGTTGGAAGGGATCTTAAAGGTCACCCAGTCCCACCCCCTGCCATGGGCAGGGACACCTTCCACTAGCCCAGGTTGCTCCAAGCCCCGTCCAACCCGGCCTTGGACACTTCCAGGGATGGGGCAGCCACAGCTTCTCTGGGCAACCTGTGCTGGTGCCTCACCACCCTCACAGCCAAGAATTCCTTCCCAATATCCCATCTAACCCTACCCTCTGGCAGTGGGAAGCCATTCCCCCTTGTCCTGTCCCTCCAGGCCCTTGTCCCAAGTCCCTCTCCAGCTCTCCTGGAGCCCTTTTAGGCACTGGAAGGGGCTCTAAGGTCTCCCAGGTGTCTTCTCTCCCAGCCCCAGCTCTCCCAGCCTGTCTCAATAGCAGAGCTGCTCCAGCCAGTTCCGCAGAACTTGCATTTTAAAGCCCAGCTGTGGTCAGTCAAGTGTTGCTGTGTTATTTATTTCAGGTATGTGGGCACATTCGATGACAGTTCAAGATTACCAGGATCTCATAGACAGAGGATGGCGAAGGTAAATCGAGAAAGAAAATACAAAGCTGTGCTGTCAGTTTAGATACAGCTTAGAATCCACATTTAAAATTTAGATCTCTGAAAACAGTTAGCTAGTTTCCATTAGTAATTGAAATGAAACTATTTGTCCAGTACTCTGAGACTCTTTGTAATGTGACTCTGTCAAACAGGAAAAGATGTAATGATTTTGGAAGCATAACAATGTAGTATAGCAGCAAAGAGCTGAAGAATTTGCTTCTTGACTTTTGTTACTCATCATGTAATACTTTGATATGATTTTAATAAAAAAGGTTCTTCTTCCATTTATGTTTTGATATAAACAACAAAAAAATCAATTCATATTTATTGCTGTTTTCAGGAGTGGAAAATATGTCTACAAACCTATCATGAATCAAACGTGTTGTCCTCAATACACAATAAGGTAAGAAGCTCAAAATACAGTTGTGTAAGGGATTTGACCACTTCAAATTTGTTCCACCATTTGTGTTTATGGCTTGAAATACATCATACTTGGAAAGTTTGTCTACTTTTAGTGATACTTGGAATAGTAAGTAAGTACTGTTGGGTTTGTGCATAAGGACATCAGCAGCTCTAGAATATTTTCCTGTGAAGAACCTTGTCTGTAACCCAGAAAGACTGCCTTAGTAGCCCAAATAAGAGGGGCTTACACTCCCATTTTAGTGATTATAGTGAAAAACACACAAAACATACCATGAAGACTGATGTTATGCAGTACAAGATGACATAAATTTCATTAAATCAAAAATGTTGATAAAATATTTGATCACTTAATATAGAGGAACTTCAGAGATAAATAGAAATTACATATGCAGTGTAATTCTTTTAAGAGGGTCCTTAACATTTTCTTAAACTTTCACAAAAGAAATGTTCATAATGTTTTATAGGTGCCAGGCATTGCATTTTCAGGCCTCCAAATCTCACAAGAAGGTTCTGAAGAAAATGTTGAAATTTCTTTCCAAAGGAGATGTTTCGAAAGTAGCGAGCGAAGGTAAGAAACTCGTAGTTCAAAAACCAGAGCTGATGTTTGGGAGGAGGATTAAATACCTTTTGTGTACAGACCCCTGGATGGGTTGTTTGCAGTGGATTTTAAATCAAGAGCACTTCAGTAGCCCAGAGATCAGGTCATGCAGGTGAATTGTACTAATGAAGAAGATGTTTCCTTACTTTTCCCACAGACCAGCTTATTTTCCTGGGCCAACTCCTACTTTCTAGCTGGGAGCTGTAGAGGATTAGACTCTGTTTTTACTCCTGCCATAAAACTGGCAATCTGGAGAGGATCAAGCAGAATGGTTGGTGGCAGAGAAAAGGAAGAGCAAACAAAAAGGTTTTTTCGTGGTGATTGAACAGTCACACCTCATTTATCCAGCACCAAACTGAGCTATTCTCCATTGTGGTGGAACTTGTGTTGGTTCTGAACCATTTTAATTTACCTTTTTTTGTGTGTGTATGTGGTATGCTAGGGGTTTTTTCAGCTCTTTTTTGTTGTTTGATTGCAGCTGTGGCCTGAGATCAGCTGACTGTCCTGTTTTAGTAGAGAGAATAAAACCGTTCCCAAAAATGAGTTGGTGTTCATAATTCAGGGTTGTAAAGGAGACTTTGTTTTCAGACTCTTGCAAATACTTTATCTGTTGGAAAACACTTGTAAAATTGGAAATCAGTTACTTTAGTATTAATTGTAGTTGTGCAAAGTGAGAGCTGTGGTTACACAGAGAGAAATTCAGTCCTACATGTTCTGATTGTCTGCAGAGGAGCCGATGGATTCCCACATAGAGGATGCGGTCGCCTGTGATTTTCCATACAAAAGTGAGTCTCAGGTCAGTCAGTCTGAACTGACTCCCTTGGGTGTGGATCACACTGAGAGCGTGCAGAATGAAGAGAAGGACTCAGGGGAAACAAAAGAAGAGGTGAATGTGCAGAAGGTGGAGTCAGATTCTCTCCAGATCTGTGCAGCCAAGGACACACCAGTCCCTGGAGAACCATCACACTCGGCTAAAGTTGTTCATGCACCACCTAAGCCAGGTAATCACATTTCTGGTAGTCATTGGAATATACTGCCATGATTTCACATCTTGTTGAAGTCCTTCTTTTATCTTGCCTGGTAAATCAATCATTGTTTTGTTTTATTCCCCGTGCTCCTCCCAGTTTATGGAACTACAGTGTATAAATTGAGAGGCTCTGGGTGTTACTTGTTTTCTTAGTGTTTCCTGAAAGTTACATTGATTTTAATTATGTATCTTTTAAAATCTTATTTTCATTATATTTTTTTTTATTATTTTTACTTTCAGTTAAGTTATGGTGAGTACATAACTACAGACAGTAGTTTCCTGTAGGATATTTAGATTGCAGTCAGATAGGTCAACATGGTAGGATCTCATCAGACACTGGGATCAGTTCCCAGTTCAGGATACTTTTGTGTGCAGAAGAAGTGCAGCCCAGATTTCCCTTCCTTCTATGGGATGTGGTGACTCAGGCTTTATGTACCTTGAGATATGGTTCATGGATTCATAGAATATCTCAGGTTGAAAGGGACCCAGAAAGATCATCTTGTCTAACTCTCTGATTATCCAAGCTGGATACAGTTTGCTGTAGGAATGCTGGTTTCTGAGTTAGGTCAAGGTTTAAACTTGTTTCTTGTGCAGTGGTGGGAAACCAGTTTAAGACCCAAAAAAAGACCCCAGGTATTATTTTTACATTTTTTAATTTCTGCACATTATTTTGTCATATAAACTCTGTTTATACTCTGTGAATAACTTAAAAATAACTGCATTTTTCACACTTTGATAGAGTCTTTGCCACAGATCTAAATAGCATTGGAAATAAGTTTGGTGAATTGTGTTGTTATCTTGTGGGCTTAAAGAAAATCAGATAGCTCTGTGCTGATTAAAAAAAAAAAGCAGATTCTTCTGGTCCTCTACAAAGAATAATGTTTTCTAGGTGAGCTTTTTCATCTGTTTGGGAGCTTTCCTTGTTTCAGATTTTGAGTAACTTTAGAGAAGAAGTATCACTAGAGGATTGGAAATTATGTAGGAATTTCTCCTTTTTGTCTTGCAGTGAACTTAATTTTACATTTTTCTAGGGAGATGCAGTAAGTACATACAAGAAGTAAAGCATTCTCTCTCATTTTACTTCTGTTGCATTTACACAGTGCTACAGCTCTCATGTGCCAAAAACTGAAGTAAACAAATGTTTATTCCTATCTACAGTTTTATGAGAAACTACATGGAATCTTGGAGGCATTTTAATATAACACTAATAATTTTTAATATAATACTGATTTTAGTAGTATGGTCACACTCTTCAATATTAAAAGTTATCCCTCAGTCAAGCTTCTTATATTTATCTTCTTATTCTCACCTCTAATTTCTTAAGTAATAAATTAAAAACTTTGACCTGTGTAAACTTCATTTTGGAAGCAAACCAAGTGGCCACTGACAGCAGGTGGCAGACTTGGGTAAAGATTAGGAGTGTAAATCTACCACTGCTATGAAAAAGGTGAGCTGAGGTCTTCAGTGAGGCTTAGAATAACCTCGGGTCAAACTTTAAACACAGGAAATGCAGATAAGAAATCTTGTAATATTGTAATGTGTTGCAGAAAGAAAGGGCTTACTTGTACAGAGGAGAAATATTTATTAGGATGGTTCTTTCTGGAGGCTTTAAAGGAAATACAAAGTGAATAATAAATGCATCAGAAAGCTTATTTAATTTTTAGAGTAGATGGTGTTACAGGTCAAATCCAGTTTAAAATTTTCCAGAGAGAAAGATGTTTAGTTTTCATCTTGGAAAATGCAGACTTAGCCCGCAGTAAGATGGTTTAATTGCATTTTTATTCCTTTATAAACAAAACAGGTCATTGTCCTGTAGGAATAATGGTCTGTTTCTGCACAGTTTCAGATAGAAAAGAAGGTTTGCTTATGTCTGTGTATGCACATTTATTGTTTTAAGAAGTTTTTCTTGCTAACTTACAGCTTATAGAAGATATGAGACACGAAACAGATCCCGATACAGCTGAAGTGCTCGTTCTTCAAATGTATCGTGACTGTTTTAAATAAACTCTTCCTGTGACCCGTTTGCCTGAGGACAGGTCACATAATATCCCTAATTCCCTCCTGTTTGTCCTTTTCTGGTGAATAATTTTAGCTGTGTGGAGGAAACAAACCTCAATCATAAAATCTGCCAGTGCCATTGTAGGATGTCTGAGGTGTGCCAAAGGGATAACAGCTCCTTTTCCAAGTCCCTGAGGTGCTGTGAACCTTTCAGCTGTCGTGGAGAAACCAAAACTGGAACTCTTTGGATGAGCCACAAAGAGCTTCCCACTAACTTGCCCCAGGAGTACACTTAGAAAGTCTGTAAATTCTGTATGGTAGGCGTGTTAAAAAGAATACTTTACAGCATTGCCAGTACTTAAAATGATCCCAATATAAAGTATTTTTCCAATTTCCATGTTGGTAAAGAAAGATGCTTCAGGCAGCGGATCTGAGGGCTGCAAGTCTTTCCAGGTGAAGTGACTCTGAACACACCAGTGAGCTTCCAAAATATCAGTGCTCTCACCATTTCCAGTTTGCAGAAGGATCCCACTGTTCCTGTTGTCCATAGGAAGGTCTGAAGTGGGTAGAGAACAGGAAATACGTGGGTAGAAAACAGGAAATACGTCAGTTTTGGCTAAAAAGTTACTGGTGGGGAGGAGGATGAAGGAAAGATTTATGTTTTCATAAGAGTTCTGGAAAAAACAATTTCCACGTAATGTCCAGCCCTTCAGGGGAGTGAAGTGGGATAAGCCATAGTTAAGTCTGAGTTTGGATTGTTTTTTGCTTCTTATAAATATTAATGGACTTGGGAATGTGTCTTCTTCCCAGTGCTTCAAATGAAACCACCTTACCATTCAGGATGCTTTCGTTTTGAAAAGTCTCCCAAAAGTTGCCAGCCTGTCTTTTGCAAATCAATGGATTTTGGGATAAATATAATGGTATAAAAGATTTCTTCAGCAGTTTGTAATAATATTTGTTACCATTCTGGTTCTGTGCAAGATATATGACTGTATTTCCCTATATTAAAGTAGTTTTTCCCACTCTTCCTCACTTTTTAAAGTCTTTAATATGAGTCTTTTTTGGCTTCCAGCTCATCTACCATCCTTTAAGTGCCTTTAGAGGGTAGCATGGGGACCAGCCTTTTTTTTAATTGAAGAAAATGATATATAATTTTTTCTAGTACTGCCATTCTTCTGTCTTGACTTTTTATCTTATGTTAATGCCCTAATTATAAATCTAATCAGACCCCTTCATTGAGGAATTTGGACCACTTGAATTTTTATTTGTGCATGTCTCTGGATTTGTGTTGATTTAAAACTGAAGTTCTTGTAGTACTAGAGAGCAAATGGGTCAGGATGGGAAATGGTGCATTGGTTTGGCTTTTCTTTTTAGTAAATACCATTTCACAAATAGAATGTTACAAATGGTTGATCTGTTCAAGACAGACTGACAAAAGTGAATGGATTAATTAAAACAATCTCAATATAATTTTAAGCATAGATGTAGCACTAATGTCAGTGGCACTGATGGCACTGGCAGCATTTCTGCACAGTGCCCACAGATTCCAGGTGACAAAAAAGAAACCCTTTTTTTTGGGGGGTGTGTGTCTTCTACAGGAGTTTGTCCTGTAGCCACTCTGGCTTCAAATGTGGTAGAACAATTCTCTGAGTTTGGTTGCGAGGTTTTGTTGGTTAGGTTTTTGTCCTTTCAGTGTTTCAAGTTTTTAAATATATTCTTGGCTTTGGGGTGGAATTGTGGTCCAGGTGATCCTAGATTAAAGTGCTGCATTAAATAGCTGCAGCAGAATCGTTGCATTAGCTTGAAATCAGGTGTTGGGAGTTGTAAATGTAAAAGGCCACAGGTGCATTTAGTGGTGATTTTAGCCATCTCTTTTCAGTGATTGCATCAGAACTGCTTGCTTGTTTTTAAATGTGGTGTTTAACTCTTTGCCTGTGCCCTTGTAGGGAAAGGGGCTGACCTGAGCAAGCCACTGTGTCGAAAAGCAAAGGACATTCGGAAAGAGAGGAAACTGCAGAAACTCCTCCAGAACCAGAAGTGCACCTTAGAAGGCTCTCAGCTTCCAGGAGGAGATCAAGCTTTCCTCTTGCAAAACTCTAAACCTAAAACAAACCAACCTAAAACCATTGAAGACTTTGTCCTTGTGTCTTTACCTGATGATGCACGACACAAATTAGAGGTAATGTCTTGTTCACTGTTGTGGGAGGCAAATGAAGGAAAAGTCTGGTTTAGGAGTTTTTGAAATGCTTAGGTCTGTACCTTTGACTTTATAGAGTAGTTGTACTTTAAATCTTGAAATATATGTGGTACTGCATTATTTATATATATATACTACTTATATTATTTTATATAATTGTATATATATATGTGTAGAAAACATATATAATTGTATATATATATATATATATGTAAAATGCAGCTGAGCTCTGTGTAACCACAGGAGGGTACTCTTGCACTGTGCAGTCATTTCTAGCAGAAACCAGCCCAGTGACCAAAATAACTTGCAAATTGATTTCATACAGCGTGACTTGAAAATGAAAGACTTTGAATTAACCAAGTGTTGAATGATGAGAGAAATTCAACGTTTAGTTCTGGAGCATAGAAATACTTAAAGTATCTATGCTAATGAAACCTGACAAGAGAGCAGTAACTTCATCAAATTAAACAGATAACAAGATAGCTGCTCTTTATGCACGTCTTTGGGGCGTGTTGATGTCTTTGAAAGCTGTAAAAGTGATGGTAGAAAAGTTTGCTTAATATACTGCTTGCCACTGCATCTATTGGAGACAGCAATCTGGAAGACTTCTGGACCTTCTAACGTTTGTTAATCATAAAAAGCCATTTTTCTTTTTATTTTTTCTGTAATTGGAAAACTTAATCTGAATATGAGTATTTTTCTGATCATTTTCAGTGGTAGTACTGGAAATGAAAATATTTACATGAGTAGAAGCCATGAAGTTGATCCATCTAATTAATTCTTCCCCATTTTCTCATGAGTTATATAGCAGAAGCACAATGGCTTTATCTGAACACCTTCATTTATAAGAAGCAGGGAAAATTCAGCAGTGTTCTCCCAGTTTGTCTTTGCTCCTTCCTGTGGCTGTCAAGTGTGCTGTTTTGTTATGTTGGGTTTTTTAATAGATCAGAACCAACTTAACTATTTGTGAAAATAGGACCATTCCAAAAATTACGCAGCTTTTGAAATTAATATGACTTCAAATATGTTTGAGAAGACATGCACTGCTGCTCATGTAACAGCATTCTTCTGCTTAGGGGGAAATTGGTTTTACTTAGGAGAATTTTTAATTTATAAAGAATTTCTAAAATTATTTTTGTGTGTTTAAGGGTGATGATGGGAAGACTGATAACTACTTATTACAGTTAACTCGTAATTGAGTATGGAAACACTGCTTCATCTTCTGCTTTCAATTTCAAAAATATCAAGAAATCCCCTTGGGATTATTGCCATAAAAACAGTCTTTAGATGAGGAGCACAGAGTTGAGTCTTCCAAGTCTTTCAAGTGTTTCTTAGTGTAGTATGAAACTACAAGTGGGTATTTTAAGTAGTACAGGAAATCTCTTTAAAATGTTGATCTGTTGGTATTATTTCCTGAAAAGTGTTTATTTCTTGTAGAGGCATTTTAATTCTCTTAATTTGCAGTTTGAAAACCTCCTGTGTTATTCAGTGTAAGTATAAAAGCCTTCAGTAGCCTAAATTGAGCAGAGGAATTAGAAGACTGTTGGCTAATATTATCTAAATTGTGATGACCCTTGTGCAGGAGGTTAAAATGTGTCTCTGTTGTGATGTTTGCATTATGTATAAGTGTATAGTTACTGCGTGTATTGTAATAATAAATGTGTTTAACTTCTTCTGAAGGTGAGGGTGGTGAGATCATCTCCACCAAGTTCACAGTTCAAAGCCACATTTCAGGAGTCTTACCAGGTCTATAAACGTTACCAGATGGTTATTCACAAGGACCCACCTGATAAACCAACCATAAATCAGGTCAGAAGGCCAAATTAATTCTATGCAAAGCTTCCCCTCCATTTCATGTGTCTTGTTTCTCGGAGAAACAAATGTGGATTTTATATCCATTGTATATTCAGGAGCATTTAAAATACTGTATCAAAGAAAATCAACATCCTGAAAGTGCAAACTCTTCTTATATCTCTTTGTGAGAGCCACAAATATTTGGTCTCAGTTGCAGACTGAAAAGTTATGGATGTTCCATGGGGATGCTGTTGGGTAAGAGATGGAGAGGATGAGGCTCTGGGAGAGAGATATTTTGGGCCTTATAAATACAAATCTCATAAGAACTAAATCCAGCTGGGCACTCAGCCTGATAACTGGTCTTGTTGGCTTTGGTTTAAATGCTTCCATAAGGAGGAACTAACGTGACCAGGGCCAACATGTGAGCAAAAGTTTATCACACAAACTGTTGGTTTAAGGTTCACAGGAGTTGAATAATTCTCTTCACTTTAAATTTAAGCCTTTAAAAAAGTGATCTGTGCACTCCATCTAAATCACACATTGTTACTGCTTCTTGTAATGACCAGGTGGAGTGTAAGAGTGAACTGTCAGACATGTTACCTCTCTGATAGTATACAGAAAAAAAAGTATATGTAGCCAGAATATGTTATTGCTGAACAAGAGAAATGAGTGATGTGCCATTAAAAATAGTACATTTAAAAAGTCCTTGAGACTGTACAATGAAACTAAAATTTGCAGTTGATTTGTTAGATACTAGTCAATAAAAATAGATTGAATAGACTCCTGCTTTGGAGTGTTCTAGTGTTAGCTTTTGTTCTTTAATGGAAGTACCAGCAGTCAGTTTAAGTTTGGTGTTAGTTGTCAGACTTTCTCCTCTAGGAGGTTTTAAAATAGAAAACTGACTTCAGAGGCTTTGAAGTGGATAGGAGGAGATCTTTCACTAGCCTTACCTTCAGAAGCAGATTATCTGATGATATGCACTCAAAATAGAATACTTGTATTTCCCTTGCTCTGAAGGTGAGGTTAGTACCTGTCTCCTTTGAGGACCCCCAGTTCAAATCATCCTTCAACCAATCTGCCACTTTATTTGCCAAGTATCAGATGTCTGTACACAAGGACACACCTTCTGACTGTGGGGAGAATGAGGTACAGTTCACTGCATGCACCTTTCTGAAAGCATCTTTTTAAAATGCACAGTTAAATGGTGGGAAATGGTGTCTCTGAGGGTGATTTTAAATATTAAAATACTGCCATTTCCATTTGGGAGGGAAAGCACTGAGATTTTCAGTAAGGTTCTGTTGCAGGCTTCAGCCCAGGTCTCACTGAGCTGAAGAGGGAGGGATTAAACATGATTTGTAAAGAGTCTGGGGACTGAGAGTTCAACTGGAAACGAGATGATTGTATCAAAGTGGTTTTTTGATGATAAAATCATCTTCTGCCTTTAAGTTGTTTGGTACCTTTTCTATGTTTCTCCTTAATTTTTTGTGGTCTTGCTTAATTTAACAGGTGGAGGTTTTAAAAATCTCCCTTTGATTCCCATTGCATTGCTAAGCACAGTGCTCAACTAGAACTAACCTTTGCAGAAGGAATAGTGCAAAAATATCTCCTTCAGGTATTGAATGAGAGTGCATTGCACATTGGTAAACCCTGCTCTTAAAATGGTATTTAAGGCTAATCCTAATCTAATAAATTAAAAAATAATTAAAAATACTCCTGGGCTTCCAAACAAGCAGCAGTTCTCCATTTCTCTGGAAGGTGGCACAACTTCTTCATTAGCAGAGTTAGTGGAATTGCAACCTCAGAGCTGTCATTTCTATCTATTTTCTATCTACTGCAGATGTAGAGCTTTAATATTGGTCAGCTCTCTAGCCAGGCTTTTCTGTTCTTGGGAGTGATACCTCACAAACTGTGGCTGTTTTCCAGGTACAATAGTAAAACCCATAATAATTTTTGGCTTTAGTTCAAGACAGTGTAAGGAGAGCTTTCTTTTTGTGAGATGTCTGTAATGCTTCTCTGGAAAGCCATAAAATCCATTTCACTTTGTTTTGTAAAATAATAGGTCTCATAACAATAAGTAGTACTCTGTGCCCTTTTTATAATTACTGACATAAATGGGTTTAATTATAATAATGTGAAAATGGGACACATGCCAAGGTAGATTGAGCTATTTACTAGATTTGTACCAGGCATTACCTGGTCTGATTAGGCACTTGATTTCTCTGCTATGGTGGAAGTATTTCAGCCTGTAAAGATGCATTAAGGACAGTCAGGTTTCCACCACCTTAAGGTGTAAAGTCTGTCATGGGAATTGCTGTTGAATAAGAAGGAGATGGATTTCTGTTCACTGCTAACAGTGTAATGGATTTTTATCCCCTTTTTCCTTGTTACTTGCCATAGGTGTTTCCCTACATTATCCCAATTTTTTCTTAATGTGTCTGGTATGAATTAAACTTGCTAGAAATCTTCTCACCCCTCTCAAAAACCTTTGGCCACTTGCTGCAGGAATTCAGCTTCAAATCTGATCTGGTTGTCTCTGTGCTTTGGAGTGGAGTGAAGTACTGATATTACACAGAGTTGCTGGCACTTTAAAATATTTATACCAGCATGTTCTTATTGAATTGAATTGGTGTCCTGAGGAAAAACACAGCAAACAGTTTTCTAATTAAAAGTTTCTTCATAATACTTGCTCTTAAAGAGTGCTGTGGAAGAATTGATTTTTCAGTTTTTCCCTGTGGGAACACAGAACTTTATTAAGCTGCAATGTAAGTGCATGGTCATCTGCTGCTTTAGGGATATGTGTATTCTTATCTTAAAATAGCTGGTGGAAAAATGAGAAGGATTAGGGGAAACCTCAGCAGATTGTGAAGTGGTAACATATAAATAGCTTCTGAACGAGGTAAATCGTGGAACATAGGTGTATCCTTGCCTACTGGAGAAATTTATCCAAGGCTACTCTTGAATTAGTCAAGTTCCTGAACTGCTCATTTTTGGAAGCTACGAAAATATTCATGGAAAGAACCTGTTTTAATGTTTGTCCCATTCTTTGCATTTCTTCTGGGCCTTTAGGAAGTGCTGTGTGTGGCCCTTTATCTCAGGTCCAAAGTGACAGTTGTCCTGTCCTGTTCCCAGGACTTTAAATAGCATTTGGTTATATTTCTAGGAGAAAATGTGTAGATTAATGTATAGAAAAATGATCTGAGAATAGGAAGAATGAATTTGTTATGTATCTTATATAATCCCAAGGGGCATAGACTGGCTCTTTGGAGGAGACCAAGGAATCTTAATAATGGTTTGCCTTCTTACCTAAAGTCTTATCTGCAACTATTTTAATTCTTCCTCAGCAGCAAAAATACCTGTTTCTGGGTAGGAAGTGCAGGGAGGACCTTGCACAACACAAGTCACTTGGAAGATGATCCAGGTCTACCCCAGCTTCAGGATGATTTATAAAGCATGTGGAGTTAGATAGGTAAATGTTTCAGGACATTTTGCCACCTGCATCTCTTTTGTGTTTTATATGAAATGTCAGAATTTATTTCTTGATATTTAAATGATGGATACGGGTGGGGAGGTCTGGAGGCAAAGCTTTGAGTTGAAATGAATGCAGTCAAAACATTTTTTTTTTCTTGGCCTTTTCATCCCAAGAAGGAAATGTTTTGATCCCAGTGAAGTAATCAATGGATAGTTTGGGTAGAATAGTGGAAATCTCCAGCAGTTCTTCTTCATGAAGTATCATCTCACCAGAAGCATCACGTTTCTGAGCCAAGATTGTCTTTTTTAAAATGCTTCTTGAAGTTAATTGTAGAGGCTGTCAGTGTATTTTATACACAAACACACACACACACACACACATATATATACACACATACATACATATATATATATATATATATATAAACTCCTGGCTGCTTTAATTCTTTAACTGTATTCAGTTACTGTGCTAAACAAAAAACCAGTGCCTGTCATTCCAAACTGAGTTTTACATATTACATATTGCCATGTATAAAATTTGAAATTAAGCATTTCTTATTCCTGCCTCTTCTCTAGTGACCTTAATGATTGATCTGTGTGGTGTAAAACACTGATACAACACACCTAGTTGATTAAGGTGATTTTTAATCTTCAAGTCTTTTTACAGCAGTCTTTGTCTTTAAGAGACACTGCTGAAGTGTAGCTGAAACAAGCTATGTGGCAGCTACACAAGTTAGAAAACATTTCCATAAAAGATCATAAAAATTATACAGTAGTTTCCAGAAAGAGCAAGAGTGAGCAATTTATTGCTGTTTAGACCTCCTGAAACAAGCCTTGTATTGAACTTTTCACGAGCGTTTTGTAATGACAAACTTGTAGAAAAATAATATCTGTCTGTTCCCCTCTGTGAAAAGTAGCTGGACACTCTCTTTGCTTTGTGCTTAACTAAATATTTGTCTTGGAAGAAAAGAATTTCGCTGCACACAAAAGAGACACTGTTTGAAAAGGTGCAAAAAATTACCGAAATACGTACGGCGGGTTTTTTCTTTCCAAGGTTTTTTTTTTTTTTTAATTGCCTCCCAGGAATCCACTTGAACTAATATAGAAAACTGAGAGAGTAGTCTGGGAAATACCGAGGAGCATGTTCTGATCACTTCCAAATTGGTATCAGCAGCCAGTTGCAAACTTTTAGGTCTCTTTAACCTGGTTTCCTCTCTTGTTTTTTAGTGAGACAGTACTTAAAAAATCAATAGCCTTTGTGGTTATTTTTAACCTTCTGTAGCTTCCCTCAACAGCCCTACATTTTTATCGTGCTCTTGAACGAGTTATTTTATCATTTTGGTTGGTGGCAGCCTTGGCAGAACATCTCACTGTGATAAACTTGCATTTCAGGTCTCTGGTAACACTGATTTAAAAACTTAGAATGAGTATTTCTATATCAGCCTGATGCCTTCTGTTTACTTGTATGACTGTAGTGCCACAGATTCATGGATTATAACTTGAAATGCCTAAAAGAGCTGAAGAATTGAGGCACCCAGAGAGTGAATTTATTTGTCCACAGTCATATAATTTCAGTTCAGATTCTTTTTGCATCACAGTTTATGTTGTTCTTCCTGATTTTGCCACTGAGTTTTCTATGCAAATCCATATAAAATTAAATAATCTTTACTGTAAGATTGATAAATCTCCACTATATTGAGAGTGAGTTTCTTCTGAGCAGACAAAACCACAGAGACTTTTGTCACTCCATAAGAGAATTGAGATTGTTAGTCTGAAATGTAATTTCTGTCCTATAAGCAATTTTTTCTCTTTCCTTAGTGCCATTCTTGTAATGAAACCTACATTTGAGACATGCATTTAGTCTTTAGATCCCCTCTGAATCCTTAAGTACAATGTTTTGAAGGCTCTTTCTTCACATTCAGGTCTGTTTATCTCTCTGAAACGGTGGGTTTTTAGCATTCCTGTATTTTTGGAGGCAGTTGTTGAAAATGCTAAATAGAGCCAGTCCCAGGATAAGTCTGATTCCTCTGCTGACTGAGCTCCACTATATTGCCCAGTTCACGAGTGGTTTGGCACCATCTTTTCTTGTAAAGGTGCTACTTTTTGTCCCATTTTCCTGATTTTTACAGAAAGTTTGAGAACTTCTGTAATTTTCCAGCTCAATTTCAATCTATTTTCCTAAACAGCTTCCTTTTGTTGTTTGTTTCTTGTTGTTTTTAACTTGGGAGGAGGTTGTTAGCAACCCTTACTGAAAGTTTGACTTATTTTTACTTTTTTCACTGCCCAGATTTATGGTTAATACTGATTCTAGTTTGGTTTGCATGAAGCCAAAAGAAGCTGGATAAAACAGGAATAACATTGGACCTGGGAAGAAGCTTCTAGAGCAGAACCCCCCAATTCTAGCTCTGTGTTTCCCTGCAGATCTGAAAGATTGCACTGCTTGTGGAGGAAGAACTCCTGGGAGGATGCCAGTATCCCTCTAGGAAGAATACCAAATTTCATGGCTCTTTTCTGGTAGTGGGTACAGGAACATTCATTTTGCCACTTAGAGTTCCTAAGATGGGGAAGCACTATGTTGTCCTTGGAATTAGGGAGGGGAAGATGGGATGAATTTGCTGACCACACGTGCAGGTGATGCACTGCATCTGTAGCTTGCATGACTTGTCATTGTTATTTTTTTTTATTGTTGTTATGAGCCTGGCACATTTATGAAAAACAAAGCAGAGAAAACCACAACCAAAATCCTTGGTTTGTTTTAATCTCGTTCAGAGACTGGACTTAAAAAAAACAAAAACAAAAAGAAAAAAACAAGCAAACAAACAAACAAACAAAAAAAAACCAAAAAAATCAAAGCAAAACCAAAAAAAAAAAAGGCACAAAAAACTAAAAAGAAGGAAGGCCCAAATCCCATATCCATTCCTCACCCAAGAAAAAGGGCAAATACTCAGTTTTCCTTGACAGCGAATTGCAAATATGAGCAAACTCTTTATGTTGTCAAAGGGAAAATGATAGATTTTTTTGTGTGATAGTTTTTTTTCTGTGATGTCTTTGCACTGAAGACAGTTTTACAGTGCCTGGTGACCCCTGAAAGCTGGGTTTTCCTGAGAAGGCCACGATGTCCTTGTGTGGCATCACAGACCTTCACTTGCAGAAAGTCCCTGAGCCACCAGGTGAAACCCATTCCAGTTTAGCACCTGAATATCTTCCCACATTTGTAAAAGGAAGCAGGTGTTAACACTCTGGTTTTATGACCACTTTTTAAAGTTGTGCATGTGCTTTCACTCCAGCAAGTAGCTTTGGGTTGAACCCAGCTCTCCATTTATTTTTCTGCCTTTTTTCTCCCTTTGATTTAATTCTCGGTGATGTGTTCATCTCTTAGTTTTATTAATTCTGTTTAAACTTATTCCCTGTTGTTGTGTTGATTCTTTCTGGCAGCTGTAATTAGTTTGCAGCAAAGTAAAAATGTTGTGGATTTCAGATATATTATAAAGCTTTTAAAAGGCTCAGGTTTATGTAAATCAGTTGGAAATTAAAATTAGAAAAACATGACTTTGTGAAAAGAATTTTAATTGTGCTTATGTGACATATTGAGTTGTTTTATATGCAACATCAGCTTTTGGCTGTGTTTCTTTCATGGTTTATTGAATGATTTTTAATTGTATTCAGAATAGTCTTGCAGTGAGTTTGTTCATTTAGAAACTGAATCTTATGTTTTCTTCTTTTTTAAATAAGTATATTCCTGAGTTATGATGTAAGTGCTGTGGCTTTGGGGATAGGAGAGGAGAGTAAGGGAAGATAACAACAGAGATCAGTGGATATAAAATATTTATTATACTCTCCAGCTCTATGTGTGATTTAAATTCTTCCTTAAAAAGAAAATGAATAAACCTGCAGCAATAAATTATTGGTTTTTTTGGTGTTTCTTAATTGACATCTAGGGAAGATTCAGTGTCTTCTGAATTTTTTGAGGATTTGATTAAGAAAATTGTTTAATAATAATTAATAATATATAACAAGACTTGCAATGTTTTTTTTTCCCCTTAAGATTGTGATCCAAATTCAAGTGCAGTTGGAATTTTCTCCAAGCCAGCAGCACAGCTGTAACAGGATATACTCCCCAGCAAGGGGAAGTTATGCTTAGGTGCACTTAAAAAGTCCCCCCTCACCCTCAAAGCCAAGGGATTGGACAGCAGGGCCTGGAGAATTGATAAAACTATTTGAAAAGTGTTGTGGGCACAGTTTTCTCACCGTAGGGTTTAACTTGCACTGTAAAGCTAAAGTTACAGATCAAGAACTATTGGGGGTCTTCTGACACGAAAATTAGTAACACATGGTTTATTTTTTCTGAAACCTGCACTTTCTAAAAACATTGACTGTAGGGACTGATGCACTCAGAGTGTAGGAATTTGTAACTCTGCTCTTTTATTACGGGAAAATGGCTCAAAAATTCAAATTTTTAATTACCTTTGTAGGTAATGCACAATCCCCTGCCTGCACCAGCACTGTATGAAATTCAGTGTTATTCCATAAGGTCTTTGTCCTAAGGTTTATTGTTCATCCAGAGATCAGCTGCTGCTGTGTTTGAGAGGGAAAGGACTTCTGCAAAGTCCTGACTCTTTTAGCATCCCCAGATGCACTTGGTTAGAGACACAGCCCTAGAGGTTAAGGTTGTCTTCACTTTGAGCTGCAGTGGGCCAGTTAATGTTTGCAGATCAACATCAATGTCTACCAGAGGCTTGTTTTCATTTCTAAAATCTGCTTTGTAGCACTTCCTGAAGAAAAGAGAAAGTTTCACTTCCTTGGGCTGTATCTTGAACTCTGTTCTAAGTCAGCAACTTACACTGTTGGTTCTTTTTATTGTTGCCTGCCTTCCTCTCCTCCCCTTCCCTGGGTAAAATGGGATGACTGACAAGCAATCACCCCTTTTTTTTGTTTTGTATTCCCCTTTAATTAATAAATCCCAGAACTTAATAGAATCCTTAACAGCAGTCAGGTTTTTGTAGGTGTCTTTATATATTCTTTTTATCAAACTTTTAATTAAATATTCCTGTTTACTATTACTTTGCAGTTTGTGAACTGCTGACTTATTAAATCACTCAGCTAATACAAGAGGGGGAATTAAACTGTGTAACACATACTAGTTATTTAACAAGGGAATGTTTTGGGGTTAAATACATACTAGAACTTCGTAACATGTTTAATGTGGAATCTATTAATAAGGAAGTATTTGTATCAAATAACTAAATGGTAGTGAATAAGTGTTATATTTCATTACTCTTAGAACCTTGGACAAACCCCAGATCATTAAAATATTACCTTTTTGGTTGATTATCTACAGCACATCATTTTCTACTGAGTAAAAAATCTGGGTTTGAAATGCACTTTCAGGAGGTTGATTTTTTTTTTTTTTTGTCTTTTCCCTTCCTCTTCTCTAGACTTAAAATGGGCTGGTTTGCTTTTGATTTTGAATGTAAAGTGACTTAATTTATTTTAAGAATTATGAGGGCCCTGGCCCCCTTGCTTTAGTGGTAGGGCAGGTAGAATCAATGGGAAAAGATTCTTTGTTGAAGGGAGTCACAGGAAAGGGTAATGTGTAATTTAAAATAAAGGACACCAGAAACAGACCTGTATTACAAGGTGATAATTCTCTCACATCAAGTATTTAAAAACCATCTTCTATTTTATAGGAAAGGAAGTACTTTGGATAGTTAATCACTGTATCTATTTGTACTTCTAAACAGAATGTGAGGGTTTGTTTATGGAAATTTAATTTAAAATCTGATGATGCTTTTCAAATATATGGTTTTTAAAGAGTGTATTTGACTATTAATGTATCTTATAGTACTGCTAATAGTTTTCTTTGTTCTTCTGCTTTGCATATTTGAACTGTCTTCTTGGGCACATGTTCCTGATGAATCCACCCCGCTGCAGTTCACACGATTCCTGTGTGATTCTCCTCTGGAGGTAGGCATTTGTTCTGAAATTAATGTATTTTTTCTCCTACACTCTCTGTAGTCAGCCAACCATTCTGGCATAGGTGGGTGGCACAGAATTTCTATCATCACCAACTGGTAAGGAAGATACTGCTGTGCTGCTGGGTAATAAGCTACCACTGAATTTCACAGCACTGCATTAGAAGGCAGAAGCAGAAAGTGCTGTGTCTTTGCTGGGTTTTGATTTATTTCTATGAAAAGAAGAGTATGTATAACTTGCCAAACTTGTATTTGACTCCAACCTGAGGTAAAAGTTGAGGAGAGATGCTGTTCTTTCATTTCAAGTAAGCAAACTGCTGTGGGTTTCTTGCACTGTCTTTCTTGTTAGTGTTGAAGAGTGAAGGGCCTCGTGACTGTAATGAAATTGTCAGGTTATAGTAATTACACTGGTAATTTGATCTGTGGCACTTTGAATGAATCCATGTGTGCAGAGTTTGTTGCTTTTCTCTGCTCAGTCCACTGGCCTTTACATTCCTGAAAGCTGAAGAGTAATAGAGCTCATTAGACTTTATAGGAAAAGGGCTTTTATCACCTCGTCAACTCGGGCAGCAGACTGCCATTATATTCTTAATTTTGTGTGGCTACGTAGATGTTGATGCACACTGCCCTGCCAGGTTTGTACTGATATTGTTTCTTACAGACACTTTTTATTGACATTTCGAAGCTTGAATTAAATTTTGTGTGGCACCACTACAGATGTCTTCAATTAGATGAAGTTAAATAAAAGGGGTTATATATCAGAGGCCACGGGATTCTTGAAATTCTTTATTCTGAAGCAGTTGCCACAAGCAAATCTAGCAGTGTGTAAGTCTGTTTACTCTTTTGAGCAAAAATAATTTAAAATAGAATTTAAACCTTACATGTTTTCAATTTGTCGGTTTTTGAATTTTTAATGTTATTATTAGCTGCAAATAGTATGAACACCCAAACTCTTCCTGTCTCTTTTGTTTTCTCAATTTATTATTCAGTTTGGTTTCTGTTTTGGCTAGGGGCTCTGGCACAAAAAAATGAATGCTTTAAAAGGAATGATACAGTGCATAGTAGCAGAAAACTAGGCAGTTTTCTAGCAGTAAACAGGGTCACGTAAAGAGAAGTTTGAATATTATTTTATTCATGCTTTTGTTTTAGAGGCTACTTTTAAACATTTGCCATTTTACCACTTCACATACACAAATACAGCCTCGCTGGGAGAGGAATGGTGGTCATGGTTCAGCACAGAATGGCCTGCAGGACTCACCCAAAATCCTGTGCCCTGGTACCCTGTTGTTGTCAGGGGGAGAAGGGCACAAGGAAAATCTGGACTGCTCGGAGTGATTCCTAGTTTTTAGTGCTCAGGGAATTAGGAGGATGTTCTGGGCCAGTGTCATCATCACTAATAATCATCTCAGTGCTTGGTCTCCTCAAGTTCTTCCATGTCATCTTGGAATGAGCCTCAGCCCTTGGATGTGCTGTGGCATTCTGCAGGCAAAGGATGATTTTGTTTTGTTTTCAAATTACTCTCTAACTGCTCTTTAATCTTTTTTTTTTTCATCCTGACTGATGTTAAGCATTAAATTGTCGATTTCATAATGCTCCTGTCAAAATAATCTTTTAGAAAGAACTGGAAATTTATACCCATTGTTTTGGGTGTGTCTACAGCAATATTTTTTCCTGCATGTATTTATGCTCTGTGGATTTATGAACTTTTAGTAAATCAGTATTATGGGATCTTTCTGTAGCTGTTTACCCTCAGTTCTTTTTTAACTGTCCTGAATACTTTTCAATAATGATCTTGTTTTGCTGCAGCATCCTTCAGTGATTCTTGAGTGATTCACCTACGAGTCTGGAGAACCTGGATCCAGCACAAGGGAAAGGGATCTATTTTCTGTTGTGCAAATGATCATTTGTTCTCACTTTGTTTCCTGTTATACGTATGAAGAGGCTTTTGAATTCTAGAGAACTGAAAGATGCTTGTGAATCTCAGTCTTTGCTCTTCAAAAGCACATCAGCTTCTGCTTTGCATTATTTTGTTTATTGATTTGATACTTAATTCTCACTGATCTAATAATAAATGACAGCGTTACAGGTCTGTAAATCCCAGGATCACCTTCTGTAGGATGTCATATTTTACTTACATTTGATACATCGCTCGGGACTAAATCAAAACACATTTCATGTAGAGATTTTGGCAAGTTGCTTTTTTTTCCATCATCTCCACGATGTTTGTAGAGTGATGCTCAAAGTCCCTTGCAACTGAAGTCCTTTGTGCCCTCACAGCTTCACTAATCCTTTTAGGATTTTAAGCTTACTGTGAGTGTAGCTCAAATTCCAAACTTTTCCAGTCAGGTGCAGAAGTTAGCTCTGTAAGGAGTGTCATATTTGGATGCTGCAAGTTGATTTACTTTGTTTTGATCTGGAATCACAGAGCTGTTCAGGTTTGAAGGGACACATTGAGCTCACCTAGTCCAACCCCCTGCTCGAGCAGACTGGAGCAGGAAGTTGTCCAGGACTGTGGGTTTTGAACATCTCCAAGGATGGAGACTCCACCAGTACCATTATTTGTCCCTCTTCTGAGTTAAAACCTCCGTCCTTCCATTCAGATTGGATTTCCTGTGTTCCTCATTGGCCTTTTTATCCTGAGAGTGCATTGCTGCCTTTCCTTAACACAAACCTGCAGTGCTGCCTCTGCTGCCTCAGCCTGTGTTTGTCAGCTGCTTTCACAGCATCTCCATAATCCCTAATGAAAGGAAGACAGGGTACTGAAAAGGGAATAATACCTTCCTAACCAAGGGATAGAAATCTGCCATATGGTGGGTTGTGTGTGTGTGTGCCATTGGGAAAGGAACTGCTGGAATTAATCACTTTGCTTATTCGGCAAATAATTTCCACTGGAGTGTGGGAGTCAAGAGTTTCCTGCCTTTTTTTTTTATTTTTTTTTTCTCTGAGTAAGGGATAGCATGGATTTCATAACTTCCTCCTCCCTCCATCCACAGGGAGGGTAAAATGGAAAAGTTCAAAATATGAAATTTCGTGAAACCTTCCAGAGAAAAATAATCATGGAGCGTATGGGCAGGACCCATTTTTGGTAATTATGAGTAAAACACCTCTTAAAATTAAAGAATGACCAATGTGCCTCGAAGATAATTGAGCACTCTCACCATCATTGAAGTTCAATTATAAGCAGTTATTACATTGAGATGTACTAATTGGGCAATATATAATACCAGTTCTATTAAATATTTAAATTTTAATAATGTATTCTAAAATATAAGCAATCAAATGTGTTCATGGAATCATTAGCTAGCAGAATATGAAGACAGGTAAAATTAACATGTAATGAAATATATTGTATTTTTCTCTGCATAGAAGTCTAAACATTGGAGAGAAAATTATGTGGTTTTGTTCCTGGATTTAGTTCTTTTTTTCTTTTTTCCCTGATATAATCAAATTGTAATAATTCATTGTATTGAAATATGAGTATGAACTGTTAATTTTAAATAAATTGGTCCCTCTGGATTGTTTCCAGGCTAAGGCATAATTTTAGTTAGATAAGGTAAGCTCCTTCTGCTGGGTCTTGCTCACCTGATGTCAGTGGTATATTTTACATCACCCTTGACAAACATGGTCCCAGTGGAGATGTCAGTAGTAGGGAATGGTATAACCTGCTTCAGGTAAATGTTTCATGTTCTAGACCTGTTTCAGGTCAAATTGCCTAGATGGTGCTTAGGAAATCAAGCTAAAGGAGCCAAGTATTCATTGAGAAATGGGAGAAAAGGTAATCCTGACAAGCATTACAAAGGATTACATTGTATGAGAACTTTTGAAGGAGGAGGAAAGTCTTACTCTTTTTAAAATGTTATTTGCTTAATGTAATGGGGATCCCTGAACATTCTGCCTGAGATCAGTGCTGTGCTCATTATGTTTGTTACAGAGCATAGACCCTTTTATGTTCATGACATTTTACTGTAATTGCATTAGTGAAATAACTGTAGGTTGTACTTTACCAGAAGTTTTTAACTTCAGTTTGCAGAGTTCCAGTTCCATGTGATGCTCTTTGGAGGTTTGGGGTCACACACAGGCACAACATTTGTTTAACTTCAGAAGACTTTGCTTTGGGTGAAAATCTTTTCCATACTGGCTAAGAGACTATCTGTCGTAACATCATTAAATCCTATATGATGAATTTTTGGCAAAGAATGAAAATCTGTTTTAACTGAAACTTCTTTAGGCAAGTCTGGATTTTATTACCAATCACATTTCCCTATGGCTTTGAGGAGATGTTTCATTTTTTGTCACTGGCTGCACCCTGATAGCTGAGAAAAGAACCTGACCTGTGCTGAGAAATCCTTAGACAACATCTCTTACTTGAGGGACCACTGACCACGTGATTTCATTTGGCTCTGCTGAAAAATTGAGGATACAGAATGAAACCTTAACTGTTGCATAAGTAGGTTTTACCTGAAGAGGGGGAAACCCAGTGTAATGTGCTATATCTGACTTTAATATCCTCATATACTGCAGATGGAGCTCTCAAATGTTTAACCATTTAGCTTTTAGAGTATTCCTAGCACCACATCTAGTTTCGTGCTCTATAACTATGTAAAAATGCAGACATTTTGTTATGTGGCCTTTGTTTTGGGACTTACTGGTTGGGTGAGTCACTTGGAATGATTTTTTGCTCACGTGATTGATTTCTTTTGACACATGTGGTACCAATTAGAGTAATTTCTCCTGCCCATCATCTCTTCAGCCTGTGCTACTGTATCAAAATACTTGATTAAACCCACCTTCTGTTGTTGTAATGCAAAACAGTTGGTAATAGCAGGCAATATTGTCGGATTTATTGAGTGAGAAGCAGCTTTCTGAAGACCTGGCGATGCAGTGGAAAACATGACTAGATGGATAATTAAGTTGAGCACAGTGGAATTCGGGATTAAAGTAAACTTGACGTGGGAGAAAATGGCATGCCCAAGTTGGTTGTGTAATACAGTTTAAATTAGGAGATCATTTTCTTCTTAACTCGAAGCATGAGTTTCTGGCTTGAGGTGCTTTACCCCATCCAGAGGCAAACTTCACATCCAAAACCACAGCACACAACAATAGCCAGTTCCTTGGTGTTTTTGCAGCAGATACTCTGGTGTGGGCTGACAAAGAAGTAGTGCCACACATTTTTGTTGCAACACAGTTTCAGGTTCTTAGATAAAAAGTATTTCATCAGTTATAGAGAGAGTAAACCATGTTACATAAAGAATTAACTGTTCACTTCTTTTTATGAAATTCTCCTCTGAAGTAAATTTAATGGCCACTGTGAGAAACTCTGTGGCCAGAGAGCTGCCAGTGCCTGAGGACATAGAGGAGAGGAACAGAATGGTCCTTGGGAAGGGCTGGCACAGGGACATGGCATTCACCTTTCTGCCCTTGGACTTTGCCTCTTGTTGCAGAGTAGGTTGGTCACATTAAAGGGTGTCTGCAGAATTTGCTTGCATGTCATAATGCATTAATAACTTGGTGAATCACCTGGTTTGATCATGGCAGTCCCATAAATGCTCAATGGCTATTTCATATTTGTGTTTGGGATGTGTGATGTGTGGGGTTTACCCATTACAAATACAGCAAAGTCACAAATGATCCAGTGAAATAACATTGTTTTCCCTGCTTTTCAAATTCCTTCTTTTCCTGAACACGGAAGGCCAGAGTAAATTTTCACAGCATTTAGTTGTGTGTTAAAATTCTTTCTGAAATTGTTTTCACGCTGGAATTGTGTCAGACAGTCACATCCCTCTCCTGTTTTCTCTTAGGCAGAGCATGCCCCAAATGGACCAGAATGTGGCTATGGATCTTTCCACCAGCAGTACTGGCTGGATGGGAAGATAATTGCTGTTGGTGTCATTGATATCCTGCCCTACTGTGTGTCCTCTGTCTATCTGTACTACGACCCAGACTTTTCTTTCTTATCCTTGGGAGTCTACTCTGCATTACGGTAAGAGGACATTTTCATTATCTGGTTGGTTGTAATAGTAAGAATTGATACTTGTCTCTAAACTTGTGCTTTTATTTTCAGTCTAAACATATACTGGTAACACTATACCTAACAAAGTATTTCTGGTTGATTTTTTTGGTTGGTTTTTTTTTAATTCTCTGTGGTTGGTCGCATTCCAAATAAATTTTTAATTGTCATCATGACTAGGGATGTATCTTTCTCGTTAGCTGAATACTTTTACAGATTAAGGGAACACTCAGAAACAAAATACCTAGTTTTTATTGCCCCTGAAAATAATTTAGTATTGCTTGGTTTCAGCAGGAAAAGCCCCTTTTTTGTTTGAGTAGAAATAATTTTTCCTTTGACCTTTTTCTTAGCTTAGTCAGCAAACGAAATTAATCACTTTTATAGTTTTATGCACATTGAGATCATAAATAACAGAGTACCTAAAAAACATTGTCTTCTGAATTAGTAGTCTCCTGCTGTACTAGCACTAAGTATATTTTTCAGGTATGTTAATCTCATTATCTTTGCCTTTAGAAAGGCTGATGGAGAGAGTAATCCTATGAATTTTAAAGCCTTAAATTAATTATCAACAGCCTTGCAAAACAGTAGGAATAGTGGGTAATGCTTTTCACTGTGAACTAGACTTGTATGTGAAATTGCAAGTTACTGTTTTTCTTTCATAAGCAATTTTATGATTCCATTGTTATTATAAGGGGGGAAAAAAAACCCCTTAGTGAGTGGAAATACTTGTGCATCTCATTTTTTTTCCTTACCTTTTTGCTTCTCTATTTACATGAAGTGAGTTGGTCACAGACATGTGGTGTTCCCAGGGAGGTTCTGGTGAAGCAAACTGGGTTTGAACCTCATGGCAGACACATTGTTTTCAAGTTTGAGTTTGAGAAGCTGCTGCAGCACAAGTTCTTTTTGCCTGTTGAGGTTTGCACTGAACCTTTTGCACCTTCAGGTGCAAAAGAAGCACAGGAGTTGTGAGGTCCAGCTTTCTTCTTTCTCCAAGGCATCTTCTCTGTAGGTGGAGCTTCTCAGCTCATTTTTAGTGTTACCCAGCAGGGTGGGTAAATGGCATGACTGGAACTACATAACGCCCAAACACTGTTTATAGGAAACTTTGTATCACAGTTACTTCATAAACTTTTCCTTTTTATAACTAATAAACCCTGTGCAATTTAATCTCTCAAAAGTCTAATCTGAATTTGTTTAGATTCTTAGGAAATCAAGAGATTCTAATCAAAATCTCTATTTTTTTTTTTTTAATTCTCCCTTTGGGTGTATTCTCTTTGGAGGAGTGAATTTTGTGATTTCTGAATAATCTTTATATGAAGGACAAACTGTAGAATCATGTCAGGAGGGACCTCTGGGTGTCATCTGCTGCAGTTCCAGCACAAATCAGGGCCAACTTCAAAGTCATTGTGAGCATTAATGAAGCTGCTGCTGTAGCTTCTCCAGTGGTCTGCAGCTAAAAGGATCTAAAGTGTCATTTTTCTGAGGCTTTCAGTGGCACTGGTGATTTTATAGAATTAATCAGAATTAACAAATGTAGAAAAACATTGGAACTCCAGTGACTTGGAATTGATCTATTTTCTGTTAGATTTGTAGAAGTATTTTATTACATATGCTAGATATTTGAAATTAGACTATTTTTTCCTTGCAAGCTGAACATATAAGATAAAACACTAAGTCCTCTTAAGAGTTGTTTTTTTTAGTATTTGTACATATCACATTACTTTATGTAATAATAGACTGACATAATCCATGCTTATGAATTCTTGAAATGATTTTAAATTTTCTGTATAATAAATTTAAAGCTGTGTCAGTGCACCATGGCTCAACTTGTGAAAGAGCAGCTTATAAATTCTGTGGCATTTAAGGCAATAAAAACGAGTTCCCAACAGTCTTAGAGGGAGCCAACCTTGTTCTTTCTTTCAAAGAGGGAGGAAAAAAAAAAAAGGTTGAGTTAGGGAGGATTGAGGAAGTTGAAGAGGAATCTGATACCATCAAAGCTGTTGCCAATTTTACCCTGAGGAGGTTAAACTGCCTCGCAGTGCTGTCACTTCCACTTCATGCCACTGGGAGAATTTTTGCTGCTGAGTCGTGGAAAGGATGGGATTTGAGGATCATTTGAAATATGTAGGCATGTGTTAAAGAATGAGGGGAGAAGAAGCTGCTTGGAAATACCAGTCTTACCAAAGGAAAAAAAAAAAAAATCCTGAAATACTGAGTGACTCCTGTTCATATGATCAGAAAGTTAAACCTTCCCCCTGCTACTTAAGATTATGAATAGTAGACAATCCTAGTATTCATAATCTCTCTTTAGCAGGAGGACAGGTACTTGAACTTCTTTTGGAATGGGGCTGTGTAGCACTGAAATACTGAATTTGAATTTTGTATTGATGAGATCAGTGTTTTTTTCACTACCTGACTCCTCTTGTGCCATTCTAACTCCTTATAGATATAGAGAGGACCATAAATGAAAGGTTTGCAAAAAGGTAGTTGCAAGTCCATGGTCTCTTTTCTTTGGCAGTCCTTTTATTAGATCTTGTGGTATAGTCCAATTGGAAAGAACCTTTAAGGGTTGTTGAAATGCAACAATAATGCTTTTCCCCTGCAGTATTCCAGCTTTTGAATTGCAGGAAGGTGTTTGATTAATTAGGGCCAGGATAACCTGCATGAAAACAGTAAGGTGGTTTAATTTCATGCTATGGCTTGTGAAGATTATGTATAGGAAGTGCATCTCTGTACTTTTTTTTAGAGGTATAAATCTCACTTCTGGAATCTATTGTATTTGCCTGGGTTTTAAGCTATGGAATAGATTCAGTTTCTAGACAGACCCTTGTTTTTGAACAGGTGCATATATGGATAGAGAGTTATAACTCATGATGGTCTCAGCAAACTACACACAACTGAAATGTTAAATTTTCAGTACATCTAAACATCTTTATTACTAATTTAACATTAAATGATAAAGAATCTCCAGTATTTGTGTATGGTTCCTATATGCATGTGCTCATGTCTTAGATCATAGAGGGGTTTGTGTTGGAAGGGACCTTTTAAGGGTCATCTGCTCCAACCCCCCTGCAATGAGCATCTTATTCCTTTGTCATTGAAAGCAAGAACCAACATCCATGTTTTACCAAATTGGTTACAAAAATGATCTGCAGAGTTAGAAATGCTGTAAAAACGATCCTTATAGAGGAAGCACTGACTGAGCCTTTGTGATAGTGCTGCTTTCCTTGTGCCAGTGAAATAAAAAGCAAACTTATTTTGGAATACACTGACACTTTTCTTTCAGAATGAACGAGAAAATCGTACCAACAGTCATGGGATGGGTGAAAAATACCTTTTGTTGCATAAAAATGAATGTTTTTACATGCAAAATTGTTGGAACACCAATGATGGAACAAACAAGAGGCTTATCCTTGAAACTTATTCTTTAAAAATACTCTGGTTTCCTGAGCCAGTCTGTGCAATAGATGGGCCAGATTTCTGTAGAATTCCAGTATACATGAATATTAATAACAAAACTGTTAAATAGAGGCTCTTAATCACTTTTATTTAAATTGCAAGTCTGACAGTTGGCAGGACAAGACACAAAAATGAAAGTATTTTTAAGCCTGACGTGGTGTTGTGCGTTTTGGTGATTTGTTTGGTTGGTTTTTAAGTATTATTTTTCAGCTTATTATGTGTGTGGGTTTTTAAAAACATTCGTTTGGAGTTTATGATCTTCATATTTTATTTTTTAGAGGTCTAGTCCTTTTAAATAGATCAAGAGCCAGGTAGCTGTAAAATATTTCACTATGAAGAGATAAAATGACTGCAAGAATCGTATTCAAATGTAATTAGTCTTTTCTTTCCTTTCACAGAGAAATTGCTTTTACTAGGCAACTTCATGAAAAAGCTCCTGATCTCTGTTTTTATTATATGGGTTTCTACATTCATTCATGCCCCAAAATGAGGTACAAGGTAAAGTGTGTTTTTACATATTTCCTTAGTGTACTATTATTCAAAGCTTTTGACAGTGTTCACAGTAATATAATATTTTGTAAGTGTCCTTTTGGATTTTAATGTAGGCTTTATATGGTTAAATGTGAATGTTGGTTACTATTTAACTTGGCTTAGGATTTTTATTTTTTTTTAATTTAGCTGCATGTGCTGTTTGTTCCAGCTTGGCTTAAGAGCAGTTCACATGGAGAGCTTTTCAAGAGTGTCAGATAATGGTTTGTCATTGCCTTACCTGGTTATCTTGTGTTTACAGTATCTCTTCCAGTAGACTGCAGTTCTCCCTTTTTTAGTTTTGCATATTTGTAGAACTGTTGCTTGGTGACCAGAGGCAGTGATAAGGTGCCTTCGTGGTCTTGGCTGTGCTTGGGCTTTTCCTTGGTTTTTTTTAAAGATGGGGTCTCTGCCCCTGAAATCAGTGAGAAGTTTGGGGAGCAGCAATTTTGAGCCAGGTAGCAGATTTTTGAGGAGGGGGCCAGGAGAACCCCCAGGATGCTGAGGGTGACCACTCTGTCACCAGCCCTCCTTTGTAAAACCCTCTTGGCTTCAGCTTAGTTTAGACCCAAGTGCCTGAGAGTTTCTTTCCTCTGTGTTTTAGATCTTTTCTCTGGAACTGTATCATTGCTTTTGTATATTATTATGATACAATTCCAAGTACTGAACATTGATAGCAATTTCCTGAACATTTACACATTTATATCTGTTAATAATGTGAAAAGATAAAAAGCTCACAAAATCTAGAGTAAGAGGTGCAGTGTTTTCATTTCCCTTTTTCCCCCCCTCAAAGTGTGCTAGAAGTCTGCAATATTTTCAGCTAGTTTGCAAATACCCAAAAAATTGTGAGGCTCACTAAAAGTGAGGGTTGTGAAGGAAAAACCATTTCAGATTTTTTATGGTCTACACTCCAGGTGACCACAAGGATTCAATCTTCTGAAAATAACAGATAACAAATCCCTCCCTCAGTTTTTACTAGAAGATGTTTGTCTCTGTGTGTGTGTCCCTTTTGCCAATTTGAATTTATCATGTACATCTGCTGGCCAAAAAAAGAGAATGTTAAGTTTGAGGGAAGCAAATGGGTTGGAAATGAGTTGGAAAGCACTGCCTCTGCCATTGAAATCATCTTGCTGTCACATACCAGCTTGAACCACAGTTCTTGATTACTTTCTCTTCTCTTTGGAGGTATTTTAAAGTTTGGGATGAGTTGTTCATGTTGAGACACTGCAGTTTAACATCTCTTGTCTGTTCTACAACCTACAGGGTTCAAGACTTGTAAAAAGAATGCATTTGGTTTGCCAGGGCACTTAGGAAAAGAAACAAATCTGGCTATAGTGGCAAAAAGTGTTCCAGTTTTGAAAGATGTCATGGTTAAGAAACTTTGGGTTCAGCTGCTTGTGGTGTTTTATTAAAAACATGAACTTTGTATACATGGATTAAATAAATGTAATAAAGTAGCCAGCAAACTATTTAAATACAAATTTTAATTGGAAACTCAAGAGCCACTATACATTGTTATTATTTATCCTAATGTGGTGTCTGTTCTGTTGGGCTGGTATTTGGAAATGATTCCATCAGGAATATAAGATTCCCCCAATGCTTTTAGATTTCATTCTTAAGTATTGGAAATTGGATTAGGTTGTAGTGGGAGTATTTTACTTTTTGTTTCCCCCACAAAAGCTCTTTTTCTTCCCTTGCTTAGACTTCATGACTACCTGATATGACTGTGATTGGGTAGAATGTACATTTTAGTCTCCCAGAAACCTGCACATGTTGGTGTGCTTGGGTGGTTCAAGCTGGGGCAGGGACTGTGGGGGGAGAAAAAGAAAGCCTGCACTCAGATAATTAGAACACAGAAGCACACATAATGTATTGGTAGAGCAGTAGTTTAACAAATTAATTGCAATTCTATTTTATATTTCTTTTCCTGGGTGTATTTGCTTTAGAA